TCTCGCTGACCACTCCGACTTTTCCACTGAATTACAATAAAATTACACCTGCAACCTACGAAATCCTTCTGTTAAACAGCTAAACGAAGGAGTACCAGAACGAACTGACTGTGAAAGTCTATGATGATCATTCATCAATGCCTATTTGAACAACGGCGGACAATTAGCGAGATGCCGATGAAGCATGAGCTTGTCAAAACATAGTCCTGATGAGTGTAACGGGAAACCTCCTAATATCACCTATGTACCTGTTACACAATGAAATGTACATGCTCCGAGTTAACGGGATCTAAGCTGGGATGCTACTGTAGGGATCATCCTTACAGTAAACATGTAGCCGAATCGCCACCTAAGCACATTAGAAAAGCAGTACTGAACCTAAAGTATTCTATTCTATACCATAAATCAGAACCACAACGTTATGCAAAAAAAGTTGGATGGCGGTAACACCTTTAGAAATTACTTTCCCGTGAATGGTGTGATCCATCCTATCACGATTTTGAATGCAATGAGCGCCCGCACGACGCTAACCACCTTTCTGCCCATAAAAATTTACTCATGTACCGCCCCCTCTCCCCCTGGTTCGCAACCGCCTAAGCCTGGACCTTCCGTTAGGTGAGCTCGACGAGATTTACTAACTTTGCCTTTTCCTCGACGGGGTTGAGCAACAGAAAAATAAGTACATCTTTATCTTCAGTCCGTCGGTCGGCAAAAGCGCTTGAATAGCTTACCAAAAGTGTGCTGGACTATTGTTGATCTCTGTAAGAAATAATCAAATTAAACATAGAACGTTTCGCATGAATCCCAGGTCAATGAAACATAGAGGGGAACTTTAAGATATACGAACTTGATCAACAAGCCACCGAACACGTTCTGCTCTTTACAACATTAGATATGCGCAGGCCGCATTAAGCTAGGCTGGACAGACTTGGCCGAATCGGGAGAAAAATATCAAAATATCAATATCTGAGAAAATAGAATTTCTGGCAGGACACTGTCTGATAGGAAGTTTTGTATGGAGTCGGAAGAAATTGCTGCAGGTGCTCTAAAATCTATTCGTCTGCCTTGCTCTGAGTACATGGGCGTTAGGCATGGAATTTCTCTCAACATTGTATGCTCAAAAGGTTGAATCTTCAACTGGATTCTAATCTGAAACCTATCCATTGTGGAAGACGGTAACTAAGTGACCTACCTGACATCTGGGGTTAATCATCACTTGGTGAGTTTTAAAAGTGAGATCATCTGGACAATGGTTATGAAGGAGATCCTTTTAAAAACGTCAGCGCAATGCAAGAATCATGTTCTCTAACAGATATATGCAAAATGGCTCCGTCACACGTCTATTGCCCGAAATTATATTTGCATTCTTAACACCAACTCTCAAACAGTCGTAATATTCATTGCAATAAAATCTGAAAATCGTAAATAAATAGCGAAATTCCAGTACAAATGTCCGCCCATTCACCCTGGCAGACACATAAAAATATTTTCAAATGCCAAAATTAATGTAATAAGCACATAGACACATATATGTATATGCTCATTACGAGTGCATATCTCACCGCCTATTGGTCAATTGAGACACACAATGTAAACACTCCTGGCACACTCAGACGTATGGCATTTAATACTTATTGTCAATTGTAATAGTAATAGCCTACAAGCGGTCAAAAACGCCTACGATGTTTGGTTCGTGGGCGTTAAAATTTGATTTGGCGACAATAAAGTTAGCAAGTCATTGTTCAAAATATTTGCTTGTCGGTACATTGAAGATACATATATACACGGTGTGTCTCAAAAATAACCGAACTTTTTGGATATAAAATAAAATACAAATTATATTATCTTTGAAAGTTAATATTTATTCAAAATAGGTTCTATTAGACTCAACACAACGTTTGGAACGATCAAACAGCGCATGCATAGATTTTTTTATGTCATTTATAGAAATGTTCTTCAGTACCTCGGTTACGGCTGCTTGAATAGCTGGGATATCATCATAAAATGCTTCCTTCATCTTGGTTTTCAGTTTTGGAAATAAAAAATAGTCACATGGTGTTAGATCAAGCGAATACGGAGGATGGTCGATGAGAGAAATCCCTTTTTTTCATTAAAAATTCGAGCGATTTTTTGGTCGTCATTTAATTCATGTGGAACAAATCGCGCACAGACCTTAAAATTATCCAAATAGTGTTTTTACTCATAATCAATTCCTCAGCCAACATTCTCGTAGTAAAATTTGCATCGATACCAATGATTTCACTGACTTTTTCCACCAGTTCAGCACGATTACTAGTTTCTGGACGTCCTGCTCTAGGGTCGTCATTTAAAACCTCACGACCATTTTTAAATCGTGTAAACCACGTATAAACTTGCGTACGACTCAGACAATCATCACAATAAACTTTTTTCATTAATTTTTTTTTAAGTTTGACACAAAATTTTATATTTGCTCTTTGTTCCATTTTATTTTTGAACCATTAGCACACTTTTGGTTTTATTGAAACGGCTGTCACTTTCACATCTGTCATCCGACTTACATGATGTTAGGTGCGTTTGAAAGAGGATGAATGTATCTTTCTAATGTTGCAAATTTTCAATAGATGGCGCTGTAGATGGTATGATTTCATTATAAAGTTCGGTTATTTTTGGACCCACCGTGTATATTCATACAATTATTTGTACAAATCCAAATAGAGTATGTTGAAAAAAAGTTTACATATGAGTCAAGTCTACAATATTGAAATTGGCGGGAGCTAAATGTTATATGAAGATTTTCTCAAGATATTTCGGACTAAAAGCTACTCACTATTGGTGCGATACCTGAAGAAATTAAAGGAGATGTACTTGCAGGTCCTTAATATGTCTTCTATACTTACAGCCTTGGCCGAAAATAGTAGGCACCCCACTAAAATACAAGTATTCTCAAATGTGGCTATCAAAGCTACCACTTCTTTTTAATGTCTTTATGTCTTACATGGCTGTTTAACGGTTGATTAAGTGAATAAATTGCGTAATATTAAAAGTCGTAGCACTCTGGGTAAGCTAAACCTAAAAATTGTAATTTCTAAGATATTCATAAAATATTTTCTCATTAAAAAATTGAAAGGAAAGTGTAAATTGCATTTAGTTAAAAGTTACCAATCTTATAAAAACAGTTCATATTTACCGAAATGCTTAAAAAAGTGAAATTAGTTACGATGATAGAGATAGAATTCAAGTTCTAAGTGTAGAAGGTAAATCTCAGGTTGAGATTGCCAATTTGGTGGTATGTTCGCGGTGCTATCCGGCCATTTGTGTAGACGAAATCCCACAATTATAAATCAAAAAGTGGCAGAAAGCGTCTAACCAGTAAACGAGAAGACCGAATACTTATACGCGAGTCTCTCGAGGATCGCAAAAAATCTTCTGCCCTTGCAGCTGCCCTTTCGGATGAATCTAGTAAGCCGGTTAGTGCTTGAATAGCTAGAAAAAGACATCTGGAAGCAGGTTTAAAAGGATGTAAAGCCCGAAAGAAGCCGTAGTTCTCAGAAAAGAATATGAAAAATCGTTTGGAATTGGCTCGCCGATACAAACATTTCACTGAAGAAGATTGGTAGAATGTGGTCTGATGAATCAAACTTCCAGGTAAGTTTAGTTAAGATCGTCTTAAAGTACTAACAGCCATAGCTTCTTACCCTAGAGCAATTTTGAAGACATAATAAAAATCTTACGAAAACATTATTTTTTTCTTTTCCACAGATATTTCTAACACCTGGTGTGAGGTTCGGGAGGCGACGGATTGGGGAAGAATATCATCCAGATTGCGTGGTACCCTCTGTTAAGCATGGAGTAGGCAGCATTATGATCTGGGGATGCATGGCTGCTGATGGTGTCGTTTGCGAGGGTCGCATGGACAGTCGAATGTACATAAATGTATTAGAAGCTGTTCTTCTGTCTTCGTTAGCGCGCATTTTCGGTGATACTATTTAAGACGGATTTCAATTTCAGCAAGACAATGCTCCTTGTCACAAATCGGCGACTACGAGGAGTTAGTTTAGAGATAACAACATGGTTTTGTTAGACTGGCCTGCACAGTCTCCAGATCTTAATCCCATTGACCACATGTGGGCTATTTTAAAACTCAAGATTGAGGAACACAGTATAACATCAAAAACTGCCTTAAAGAATACCTTAATTAACTAGTGGTACGCTATAAGTGCGGACGAATGTGCAAGGCTCAGAATTCCTAAGAGAATTGCTGCCGTTATTAAATCGAAGGGTGGACCTACTAAATATTAATGATATTATCACTAATTCATTGTATTCTCACTGTTTTACTAAAAAAAAACTTCATTACTTCACTTGTTAAAACAAAAAATTCAGAATTAGGGGGGGTGCCTAATACTTTTGGCCAAGGCTGTATGCATGTACTAAATAATATCCAAAAATTATAACTTGACGCCTAATAAGCTTATCTAGAAATCAATGCTTAAAAGTTCTTCCTTGGCATTTTTAATTTAGTTTGAGTTTGGTTTAAAATGACTAGGACTATCTATATTGAGTATTTAATATCTGTTGAGCTTCGGCACATAAAGGTTTTCGCCTCATCCTGCTCTCTCATTACGATATAATGTAGCGTGAAATCTACTAGCATAAAATTGAATTTTGCTTTTCGAACATGCATGTGTACCCAAATCGTCCTTCGATGAGTACACACCGCAGCTTTTTTTCTTTTTATTTCTTTTATTTTTCCACCACTGAAGTGCCACATTAATGAACTCAACTTTTGCAGTCTGAAATAAAATTAAAATCGAACACTACAACCTTGACACAGCAAGGAGCAAGCAGCCATTACAAACAATAAATAATAACCATATAAAATAGTATATAAAACAAACCGCTGAAAATTGTCAAAAGTCAAAGCAGAGACAAACAAGACAAAGAGAAACGTAGGAAATCAAATGTTGAATAAAATCCACGCGGATTATTATGTTAAATGCCACAATATGGATACCTACCTCTGCAGCCCGCGAAATCTTGAATAACCAAGCGCTTGCTTATTTTTTTATACATCCATATAGTTATATACCTCCTTGATGCCACCAAACCAATCAGCAGCCACTGCTTCTAAAAACACCAACCGTCAGCCGAATGACACTATTTAATAAATTGTTTCGCTTGCCATTTGTAGGTGTTGTATGCGAGTTTCGCTCTACTAAGCAAACATTTCGTAAACGCCTGCAATTGCAGAACACACAAACACACATACATACTTATTCCCAAATCGATGGTGTTGCCAGCGTCGTCGTCGTCGTCGTCGACGCCGACTCGTTCTGAAAGCGACGCGTGGTACGATGGCGAGCTTTACTTGTCACACCATCCAACTTTGTTGCTGTTGTTGCTGCTCGGCGTGATAGATGTCTCAGTTGTCGCAGCAAACGACAACAACAGGAATTAATTTATTAAATACTTCTCAGTTTGATTTAAACACACATAACGTGCACAAACGCGCACGAGCAGACGCGTGATGCAAGGCGTGAGTGTAGCACGTTCGTCCAGCCAGACACTGAGACAGTGACGCAGTGAAGCTGTGTATACGCTAGACACAAGGTGTGTGTGAAATTATCACAACACAACGCATATGTATAGCATTTTATTTTTAATGTCGCAATCAGGCTTCATATCATCTGCGTAATTGTATGTATATGTGTGTGACAATCGTTCGCCAGATTTGCATTAGATTACAGTGCATCAAGGCTGCTTAGCTGAATGGGCGATATGGCTGCTGTCCACTGTGGGCTGATGCCTGATGCCTGTGTACGTATACGTATGCGCTTCTGTGAATTGCTCACCACTGCAATAATAAATAGAGAGTACAGATGAACATACACTTATAGGTATGTACATGTGTAAGTGTTTTTTTTTTCTTTTTCTCTTTTTATCTCTTTAACTTTTTTGTTTGTTTATTAAATGACCTCATACGTTGAAATGAATTTGAATTTCGTGTGAAAGTCGATAAATGTGTACAATTTAAGCCGACAGGATAATATTAGCGCATCCACTTAAATACTCTTGTATAGCTGCAGCGAACAACTCGCCCATAACGCCATACGTTAGCTGAGTGTGGCTGCTTAAAAGTGCATTTATGCGAACAGACATATGTACGTAAGTACTTACCCGCCAAAAGTTCTGCTCGCTTACTTTGTTGCAAGTACATGTTATTGAATTTATGTGGTCAGCAGCGCGTATTTATCAAAGTGATAAATGGTGTGTATGCGCGCGGTAGTGTAGGAAATCGTATACTGTCGTTTAATTAAAGCGCTTTGCTTGAAGAAATTCTTGCTTGCCTTAGGCGATTTGATTGTTGCTGTTTGTTGCATGTGGAGCAAACATTTGTTAATTTTATTGCATTTACATTTGTTGAAGATGTTATGTTAAACGTGGAGAATTTCAATTAAATACATTGCTTACATATTTTCGTTCAAAATACATACATTTTCTCAATAAATACTTAATGGTAGTATATTATGTAAATTAAAACTAAAAGAGAACCCTGCACCTTGCCAAATAGTTCAAGTAGTAGAGTCAGTAAAGGCATTGGTTAATACGTTATTGTATCTAAGTATAAACATTGAATGTATGTTTGTGTGTAAATATAATACTAAACGCTTAGAAAGCGCTTTTGAATAGATGTGCCAGCAATTCTGGTTCACTCAAATCCATTTTATATTTCTGCACAATGTCCTGTACTTTGAGTCTGCGGCGTACGTGCGGCGGCTGGAAACTGAAAATGTATTGAAAACATGAAATATTTTTATTTTCCAAAACTTTGTTTATAAAACTTTGCAGCACTCACTTATCGTTATCCAAACGCCGACGCTTAGCCATATTATGCGCAGTTTGGCGCACTAAGTTGCCCACCACACGCCGACTTAAGACCATGCCATCTACTAAGGGTGTGGCGAAACTCATACGTCCCGTGGGCCCCTGTAATTTCACGCGCAGCAAACCAGATTGCAATGCATGCAAATATATGACATGACAGTCGCTGGCGCGCGGCATTTGTAGCGATTGAGTTTCCTCGCCGGTGCGTGTGTAGCCCAATAAATCATCTATAACGGGAATAGAGTTGAATTGCAGGAAATAAGCAAAGATTTACACACAGTTTACCTATTGGAAAATTCAGATGATCCTCGAAAGATTCCAGCCAAACAAGGAAAATCTTCGCTGGCGGTTGCGCCTGCAGTGCCGGCTTCATTGCATTCGTTTTGCGACGCGTAGGTGGTATTGGATCTTTGGCGCTGGCACCTTTTGTATCCAATTCCAAAGAGAGATTCCGTGATTTTTGTGTTTTGACATTTTCGGCACTTGAGTCTGATGCGCGTGCCCAAACATTGCCACCCGATGCTGCTGATTGCAGGCTATCGCCCGAGGAATGAGAGGAGCAAAGCGAAAGACAGCTGCCGTCCGCTTCGCATTGCAAGTTCCATTCGGTTGGTACGACGAAAGCTATTTCGGAGCTAACATCAGCCCAGTAGAGCACCTTGGACTCGCCGTTGAAGCGCAAATCGTTATGGTTGGCTGCGGTTGGGTTGAAACGACTATGCGTGTGCTTTGCGGGCTCGGTTTGATTGGTGGTCTTAAGCGACCACGATGTGCTAACCAAACCTGTCCAGGCGGAATGTTCCTCCAGATCGACCGGCCAACCTAAGTGAGTGAAGAAAATCCAAACACCAAACATAAACTAAAGAAAAAAAAATTTGTATACCAACTCACTAACCTAACGTCAGCAACATATTTCCAAAGTGCGCATCCAATGACCGCACATGCTCGTCGCTCATATTGCTGATAATCTCTTGCGCCGTGCTTTGACCCGACTTCACATAGAATACGTGTACGGTATCATAAGTACGCGCGCTCAACTTATCCAGCATACCCAATTCCTGCGCAAATTGGCTGCGTTTTGTATCGAGCACAATTAGTGGGCGTTGTACTGGTGCGCCAAGCGACTCGGATGGATTATTCGGATTGCGCTCCTCGAATGTTAGAAAGCCGAAATGTGAGAGAAAGAGTCGTGCAGCCTGGAATTCATGGCATACCGAGGGTGGTACACTTTCCTGTGCATGGGAGAGGCTATCCGCACTGTTATCGGTGGCAGCCCAAGCCAGTTTCTCATCAATACTTTGATTCTCAATCATAGTCTCAAGTTGACGTATGCTATCTGTGCCATATTGTTCACGAATCTGTTCGAGTGTTGGTATGGAATAGTCCGCAACACAGGGTGTTACCTTGTCAACACCATCGGGAAAGAACTTCTGATCGAATTCAATGCGTTGTGGTGTGTCATTCATGGGAATGGGACGACCTGGATTGACGGCATGATATTTGGTGCCCGACTTGCTGCGTGGTAAATGTCGTAATTGCATGGTCCATGCATGACGTCCGAAGGGACCGCGTATTAATACTAGGGAAAGCGAGAAAGAAATTTACTTATTTTTATTCGCCTCCTTATAGATTTTGAATGGATCAGATTTTTGTAATTTTTTATCAATATCAAAAAAATATTGATATACAATCGATAAGTTTTTCACCGATAAATGTTATATTTATTTCGTTATCGATAACTTGGTGTGTCATATTGATAAGAAATGTGATTATGAGGTTAAACGATTTGCATTTTTGGTATCGATGCTTTGCTTTTTATTGATATTGAAAATTTGAATTATTTTACTATCGATAGCATAGTATGTAATATCAATAATTAAAAAAAAACTTGTTGACTTCAGTTTTAATCTGTCTACAATTGAACTTTCGTTCGATATATCGTTAATCGATAATTATTTTTCATTTCATTCATTAAATGCAGAAAATAAATAATTTATTTTAAACACAACAAAGGTCGATTAATAAAATATGTTGTGTTGTAAAGAAAATTTGTTTCCATTTTTACCATTAATAAAAAATTATATCGATAAATAATAATCTATTCATTAAACTTTATTTAATAAGTACTCACATGTGACCGTAGGCTGTGGATCTTCTGCATTGCCTAACGGCTCCTCCAAAAGTGCCAAAATAGTCGAGTTCTCCGTAACGAAATACTTGAACTTTGCAATAGCCTGCTCTGTGGTTATCGATGAGCCACCACCATTACCCGAACTGTCCGGCATCGAATTACAATGTTTCATAAGAGCCACTTCATCCAGCAGCGAAGAAATCGATTCAGGGCCACATTCACTAGGGAAATAACCAACTTGCTCGAGTATAATGGTAAGTAAGCTCTCGGCAGCATCACGTACACGCATCGATGCGGGCTTGAGCTCCTTTTCATCTTTGAATTTCGGTATATCGCCGCTTTTGCCCACACTCTTCGTACCCGATATGCCCAACTCGACAACCTCCAAAACGGTTTGCAGACAATCCTTGTCTTGCAACAAATACGGATGCTGCATAAGCCAGGCCGAGGTGCATTGGAAGGCCGCCACAATGGTGCTGTGCAAGTCTTTGCTATGGGCTGGTGGTGGACGCGAGCACTGATAACAAATATAATCGCAGATCCATTTCACGGCTCGCTTACACTCTAACGCGTCTGTGGATATTATAGTTAAATTTTGACTTGGTTCTTCAATTTTAACTAAGGATTCTACGTGAGTTTGAATTGATTTTGGTTTTGATTGAATTGAATTGAATTGAATTGAGTTTGATTTAGAAAACGATTTTTTTTGTGTTTTTTCGGATTTTTTTTTTTTTTTTAATTATTTTACAATCGATTCGGTAGATTTTTTTCGATATTTTTTTCAAGTGTTCGAATTTTTTTATTTTTGTTGTGATTTGATGAGGAAAATGTACAAAGAAAAATATGAAAAATGTATTGTTTAATTAACCCATTAACGCCCGTTAAACAAAAAAAAATATTTTTTTTATCAAATAAATAAAAGTATAAACAAATCAGTGTTTCTTGTAGATGTATGTGTGTTTGTGTACATGTGTAGGTTGTATAGAAAAAGAGAACAGTATTTTATAACCCAGTGCGAAAGGATAAAGAAATATACAAAAAATTGTGTATGTTTTTAAAATGTTTTTTTTTTTTTTTGTTTTTTTTTTATGAAAATGAGAGAAAGAAACAGAGAGAAAGAACGGAAATGTTGTTAGTAAATATAGAAATTGTTTTATTTACCAGTTGTAAATTTCCTGGCTGCGCAGCGTTCGCATATACATACATAATTTACAAGTATATATATTATGTATATATGTATGTATGTATGTATGTACAGAGAGATGTTTTACAAGGATGTGGCGACAAAAGGATATGGGTTATAAAAAGGAGCAGAAATTGGTTTGGGTGGTGTTGTTGTCGTTTGTAATGAAAAAGTGCATACATATGTGGTGTTTTTGATTGTGAATTGCAGTGTTTTTTATTTAATTTTTTTTAGAATATTTTGTGTATTTAGTTTTCGCAGTTAAAAAAGAGAATAAACAAGAGAAGAAAGAGTTGGTATTTATTAGATATAAATTATTTTTACTATTGACTATATGAAATGTTAAAAGATGGTTATATATTTGCTTTAGAAATGCAGCGCAATTAGGGGCTATCAAATATTAAAGCAAGTGTTTCAAAAGTTCTACATAAATACAATGCATGCAAAGGCACAGATACATAGATTTATTTATAATATATTTCATGAATATATTTTATTTTTAACCTTATGTAAATATTTTTTATCTTTATATATATATATATCTATATATTTTTATTTCCCTTTTTACTTTTTGTTTTATTTTTCTCTTCATTTGTATATTTTTATATTTTTAGATAAATATGCATTTTATAATTTTTTATATATAATATAATTTTTATATATTTTATATTTTTTTTATATATAATATAATTTTTTATATATTATATATTTATATCTTTTTGATATATATTTTATTTAGTTTTTCATATGACAATAACATGAAATTGTTTTTTCTTTTTATTTTTTTTCTTTTTTATTTTATTTCAATTTTTTTCTATTTTGTCTTCATTCATAAGTTGTTAACTTTTTTAAATTTTAAAATATTTATTCATTTTTAATTTTTTAATAATTATTTCTATATATTTTAAACCTTTTTAAATTTCTTTTATATTTTTTTAATTTTAATTTTTATATTTTTTAATTTTATTTTTGTACTTTTAAATTTAATTTTAATATTTTTTTATTTTATTTTTATATATTTTTATTTTAGGTTTTATATTAATTATTCAGTTTCTAAATTTTTTATTTTATTCTCATTTTTTATTTTATTTTTGTATTTCTTTATTTTTATATATTTTTTTTATATTTTTTTACTTTTATATTTTTTTAATTTTATATTTTATTACTTTCATATTTTTTTTACTTTACTATATTTCTTTTTATATTTATTTTATTTTTTTTTTAGTTTTATTTTTTTTTAATTTTATATTATTATTTTTTTTTTATTTTAATAATTTTTTTATATTTTTTTATTTTTTATTTTTTTTTTTATATTCTTTTATTTTTATATTTTTTATTTTTATATTTTTATATTTTTCTTATTTTTAAATTTTTTTTATTTTGAAATTTTTATATTTTTTTTTATATTTTTTTTTTATTTTTATATTTTTTTTATTTTTATATTTTTTTTTATTTATATATTTTTTTTTATTTATATATTTTTTTTTATTTATATATTTTTTTTTATTTCTATATTTTTTTTTGTACATTTTTTTGTTTTTATTTTTTTTTTGTATATTTTTTTATTTTTATATTTTTTTTGTATATTTTTTTATTTTTATATTTTGTATATTTTTTAATTTTTATATTTTTTTGTATATTTTTTTATTTTTATATTTTTTGTATATTTTTTTATTTTTATATTTTTTTATTTTTATATTTTTTATATTTTTCTTATTTTTATTTTTTTTTTTTTTATATATTTTTTTTATTTATATATTTTTTTTTATTTTTAAACTAATTGATTTCAATGACCACTTCCCATCAGATCCATATGGTGACTCTTGGTTAACTTAAAAAAAAACGTCCCATGACAGAAGGGGCTTAAATATTAAAGGCATAAATATAAAAATAATATGCAAAGCCTACAAAATCCCATGGGTAAAAAGATGAGGCTAATCTTCTCATGCGCTAAAAGGTTTTAAAAAATCACTCGTCATAGGATCAAGAAAAATCGAACTAAATTAAAGTCGATTCAAGAAAAATTCAAATATCGATTTAGGAAACGTTTACACGCAAACACTCATTCTATAAGCGAACACAAACCAGGCAATTATTTTTAATATACAAAATATAAGTGAATACCCCATGAATGAAATGAAAAAGTAGCAATACACGCAGCTAAATAAAGTCCACAACCAATTCATACTATAACCGTAATTGTAAAATCTCACCTGAATCGCGTATATGCAAGCGCGCCAAGCCGGAGAGCAATTCCAGAGCGGCTAAAGAAACATTCAAATCGGTTTTCCATGATGAAATCAAACGATGACAGACCAAATAGGTGGCGCGCACGAATAAGGCGTGTGCATTATCTGCGGAAAAATACATGCATACATATGTACGTACATTGTAGTTGAAATACAGTACAGAAAAACATTTCTTAAATACTTAAATATTTTAAGATTTGTTTTTTTTTACACTTAGTAAACTAACTCAACATTGCAAAGCATGTAAAATATTAACAAAAAGCACTTTAAGATAAGCAAATGCTGTAAATACGTAATGTGACACAACACAATTTGGAGCAATACGAATTTGGCAAACGAAAATCGAAAAATAAATAAAATCAAACAGAAAATGCAAAGTAAAATTACCATAAACTGAAGCACTCTCAAACTCTTGTAGCAACTCCATGGGGAAATCATCGGATATGGTAAGGCTGGGGAAATCATGTTGTGATAGGTTATCACGTCCAACGTACCCACCTCCGGCTGCAGCACTGCTGCCAGCACCGGCTGCAAATGTGTTGCCTGTTGCCCCACCGATGGTTGCGGTACTATGACCGCCTAAGCTAGAGTTACCTGCACTAGCGATTGATGCGGAACGTTCTGAGCAAGCTGTGCGTAGGTATGTGTGTTGAGTGTGTTTCAGTGGGTGTATGTTTGACAAGTGTGGTGGATTTGACGATCATATGTGGTACAGATTTACGCATGTGTATGTGAATGCGCGCAATTTACAATTGATGACGATTTGATAACAAACGCACATACAAATTCATATAAAATTGAAAACAAATAAAAAAAGAAAAGAAAAGAAAGAAAGTATAAAAATTATGAACAATGAATTTGGTAAACGGTGCATAAAAACAGCAACAAATTTGTATGTGTACTGAACATATTAGTTAACTTCTTACATACATAACCGATAAAAAATAATAATAAAAATTTAGATGAAATACTAATTTGGAATAAAAAGGTAAAAATTAAATAAAAAAGGATGAAAAAATAAAAATAAAAAGTTAAAAAAAAATTTAAAAAAAAATCAGAAAACAACGAAAACCAAAAAAATATGAAAACTACTACAATAAAAAAACATGGAAAATAAAAATAAATTATAAATATAGATAAGATTAGAAAAAGAGAGAGTAGAGTTAGTCATAATAATAAAAAAGAACAACAATAATAAACGAAAAATAAAAATAAAAATGAAGCAGAAAACTGCAAAAAAAGAATAAAAACATTAAAAAGTACGCAATAACAAAGGGAACTGAAAACTAAAACCAATAAAAAAATTAGAAAAAAATAAAAATATAAGATATAAAAAAAAATTAAATAAAAAACAAAGAATTGTAAACATGAAAAATAAATAAAAATAAAAACATTAAAAAGAACAAAATTAAAATTAAAAAAAAAGTTATTAGAAAAATATAAAAATTTAATAAAAAAATTAAAATAAAAATCAAAGAATTATAAACTTGAAAAATAAATAAAAATAAAAACATTAAAAAGAACAAAATTAAAATTAAAAAAAAATATTAGAAAAACATAAAACGAATGAAAAAAGAAACACAATATGAATTAAAAAATAAAAAATAAAAAAGATGAACCAAAAACTTAAAAATTAATGAATAAAAAACTTAAAAAACACGCACAAATTAAAAAGACAAGCATATGGAATTAATGGAAATTTACAACGATTTAATTTAAAACATAAAAATTCCATAATTATTATTGGAATAAAAAATATTCTATATAAAAATATTGACTAAACCATAATATTACATTTCACCTTACCCGAACTCAGCAAATTGGTATCGCCCGGCGCCGGCGAAGCAGCATGCAAATGATCGGTGCTAACTAATTCAGTTTCCTCAAAAGTGACCGCATCCTGAACAGTCAATAACAGACCACCGAGCAGCATATGCGTATTCTGAGCATCGGTTTCCACTTGCAAAGCATTCATTAGTATATTGATTAAACGCGGTTTGAGTTGTATAAAAGTTATGATGCTGAAATTAACAAAATATATATATATTTTTATGAATTGAAAATAAATTAAGAGACGAAAGTGAAGCTCATAAGCAACCCACCGCTCCGTCGATTCGTTGGTTAAATCACGTATTGGCAACGTTTGAAAGTGCAGCGGCAGAGTGAGTATTGATAGTAAAATATTAATTGATGCGCGACGCAATTCCGTTTTATTGAAATGCATTGCTTGTGTTTTGATTTTCAAATCCTTATCGGGCAAAACAATCTCCAGCGCGCTTATGAAACCCGGTAACAACACTTGTACGCCATTCAAATCGAGCCGAAACAGATCGGATGAGTTCAATAAAATGCTAGCCAAAGTCTCATCACATTCCTTAGCCTCGGTGATCTTCAGACATTGCTGCAAGGCCATGTAGAAGCGTGCCAAATATACCGGTAGAATTTCTTCGCCCGTCTTCTTAGCACAGAAAATCTTACACAACGTACCAATAGCCTCCGCACGACCCGACTCATACTTATCAATGGTTAATGAGGGTGGTAAGCTGTTCGGATCATTCAAGGAATTCGGTTGGGAGAGAGAAATGCTGCCTTTACGATTCTCCATAATCATCGATGATGGACGTTTGCTAGCTTCGTTGGCTTGCTCTAAAATTTTGCATAAAATTAATTGTTTTCAATTATTCAAATCAAACAATACTCACTCTTTGTATTTAAAACCCATGCGTCGCCACCTATGTGTGCAGCCTCGAATAACCATTCGCCAAATAAATGCAAAATGCTATTACATTTGGGGCGAGCCACAGCCAACGGTGGACGATGCTCGAAGCCAAGCGAAGGCAGAGCTAGATAGATAATTTTCCAAAATTAAATGCGGCTCATATATAAATACAGATATTTATTTTCTTTTTTTTAATTGATATTATTATAAAAAACTTTTGTAAAAATTTTAATCAGATTTTTTTAACGTTTTTTTTAGAAATGCAAAACATAAACTTCCGTTAAACTTACATGTTAAGCTATTAGAGGATGGCGGACCAGAAGTGGGTGTGAGGGGAGCTTGCGTTGTGGATAAACGTGCACCAGTTATGCCGATAAGCGAGGCTTTGCTCAAGCCTAAAGAGTGCCATGGTACCGAAAAAATATAACACACAGAAAAATGTTTGGAAAAAAAATGTTAGACACTAATAATTGCAACAACAAAGAAATATGTACATACAAAACACACACATATTTTACATGGAAAATTGCTTGGTAAAAAATAAGCAATTACAACAAAAGTGATAAGGTACTAGTAGATAAAAGAAAATAATAATGGGCGTAGACTTAATGGTGATACACATACTTATGTATGTATGTATATGTATTGTATTATGAATATGACTTTATGCTTACTAAGATTTAAAATATTTTTTTTTTTTGTGAGCACATTAATACACTTTAGTCTGATGGTGCAACAGCTGCTGGAGCGGTTATATACAGCGCACTGTAAGCTGCACTTAATTAAATAACAAAAAATCTAATTCACAAAAAGTGTTTAGAGAGCTAAAAAATATACATAAATTTAATTAAATATAAATATTATACAGTGTGAAAAATTTCTAAAAATTACATTAATAAATTAGAATCAACTTTGAGATATGTATGTATATCTGTACAGCAAAGTTTTACATTAGAAAGTTATACAGTAACGGTGAAAGGAGTTAACAACATCTAATAATCTAACTTATAAAACTTCTAAATGATGGTTCAACATAAAAATCATGCAAAAAAAAGTCCGTTATCACATCACAGCTGAAGAGAAAATATGCATTCGCTGAGTTGAGTAAACATTATATTAAAAAAATAAATAAAATATTATTCAATGTAGTGTAAACAGCAAGCAAGTGAATAGTGCGTTTAAAAACTGAAAAATACACGCAGTCTAAAAACATGTTCAAGAAGGCTGGCGCACCCTTTTGCTGCATAATGCTGCTACTGCCGCCGCTGTTATTGCCCAGTGCGGGCGCTACGCTGAAACTCTTTGCCAAGCGACGCTGTAACGGTGGTGTAGGTGAGTATGGCAGCTGCTGTGCTTGCGGCGCACTCATCTGCGAACCATCCACGGCCGACGCTGAGGCCGATGTGACTGTTGTCATGGCGCTCAGTGGTGTACCGAACGATATGGAACCAACAACACCGGCAGATTGACTGCCGCTGCCACTGGTGTTGCCCGCAGCGTTACCGCTGCCAGTGACATTAACGCCAGCGCTCGATGGCGTGGACGCGCTGCCATGATGACCCATAATAGCATTTAGTGCTGAGCTAGCTGAGCCGCTGATGAAGTTGTCACGTAGAAAATGCCCAGCACCATGCAGATGCAGATGTGGATGGTAGTGATGGTGGTGATGGTGTTGCTGATGCTGATGTGCAATATTGGCTGCATTTGCAGCGTGGTTTGCATTACCACTGCTAGAATTCAGTGCACTATTGCTGCCGTGGTGGAAAAAATTGTGAATGCCCGTGGTTATTGAAGAGGCTGTCGCCTCGTTAAGTGAGAGGCGTATGTCAAGTAAATTTGTAATTGCGTCTTCTGCCTGATGCGGTGGTGGTCGATAAATGCCTATGGAGTTTGGCGCATCGTACGCGGTTAATTGCGTTTTATTTTAGGAAATACATATTGGTAGAGATTATAAAGAGTGTAAAGAATCAACAGGATATCTAAGGCGACGCTTAACATCTAGCGGTAAAAACTTTTTACAATAGTTTACTATAATTATAAGATCTAAGTGTCTTTGTTGAGAGTTTTTAATTAGCTAAAAAATAGTTTCTTACAAACTGCAATAGCACTTCGTTAGGAATATAACAAATTTTAGTTTAAAACCAACAAAATATTCAAAAATTTACGTATATTTTAACTGGACCCATTTCAAAAGTAATGAATGTTAAAGATTTGGGAAAAAACTAATTTGTATTTACAAGAAATTTTCGAGTTTGAAATGTCCGGTGCGATTAATTTGAAACACGTCGTAATAATATTACTCTTCCAATTCAGGTAAAGTACTTACCCAGAAATGCGTCGACTTGATTGGAAATGCCTTTAATTGCTTTCAAAAATATTTGAGGCAATGCCTGCAAGCACGGATGTTGGTAGGTCTCAGCGCCCTTATCATGTGTCAGTGCCCACTGCATGAAATGCGAAGATTTGCTTATAATATGTGGCGAGCACAACGCAGTAGGATTGCCTATTGTGCGTAACAAACGATACCAGGTTTGTGCTACGCAGTCATTTGTCATATCTGCAGGTATGAGTTGCGCATCTTCATCAGCTGCAATACGAGCAAATATTAGAAATATAACATTGCAACCAGTTTCAGTTTATAAATGTCATAAATACACACATATCTTCAATTCTGGAAATGCTGGGCCATATGTAAACTCTAGTAGACGTGCAGTTAATGCTAAATTAACACGATTCCACTGATCAATCAGAGCCATACGATGACGCCACATGGCGCAAGATTCTTGTAAAGTTTTCCACAACGAAGGCGAAGGAAAACAACGCACGCAAGCTAATAACCACACTTCAAAAAGTACTGAGAGCACTCTTTCACATAGCTGGTCACCAACATCGTCCTTCACGGTAGGCGGCGCAAGTAAAACCTCATTGATGGCGAGTAGGAAGAGCAGCAAGGCCTCCCAGGTTTTTCGATCCATTGTTTGAGAGATTTGTGCAGTCTGCTGAAGGGTACGCAGCACGCGATGACATAGCACGGCTTGTCGATTAATTGTGTCGGCGCCTTAAGAAAAAAATTAAAAAAGGTTAGGAATATTTCAAATGGAAAAGTAAAACAGTTTTAGCGAGCACCTACCAAGCGAGCTTTGATATATAAATGGCAAGACTTGAAAGGAAAGGTAAAGCAGTTTTATAATGTGCATTTAATTTTTGGGCAAGTATGTACAGTAATTATTTAGAAATTATTTGAACTGTGTAGCTTAATCCTTAATTTATGTGTGTACATATATCATGCAAACATTTATTTATATAATGTGTTTAAATACTACTTCTAATAGCAATATCTTTATTTAGCACATAAATGAAACATACTCTCTCCTTGCCGCGGCACAAATAGATTGTGAAAATGACTGACGATTTTCCGGCAATACATATTTGCATCTTCGCAAATTGGTTTCGGCACGCTGATGCGCGGCTGCGGATGTAAAGCTGTCAACCACTCACAGTAAACATTTACACAATCCTTTATGGTCTCGTGCTCTTGTAACGGCAATGATAGCCCAAAACATATTACATCCATGCACCAGTTGACCTGCAAGTTAAAAGTTAAGTAATACAGAAAAATACGTCAACTTAATACTAACCTCTTCGTCGCGCACCAAATGGCTTGGTTCTGCATTTTGGGTAATACCCAAGTTGCTTGCCAACTGACGCACTACCGAAACGGTGACCTCACGACCTGCAGAAGCTGGGAATTTATTGAGCACACTGCAAGACTGTGCTGCACAGCTGTCGGCCGAGATTTGTGAAGATAGCGATACCCATTCAGAATACATTTTTATTTATTTATAACAAGCAGTGTAATTTGCTATAAATTTTTTAATGTGTTTCAAAACACAGTTCGGTGCACTTTCTGCCTGAAAAACAACATTCACGGAAGCCTACGTCAACAAATCAATCACATATTCTCAATTATCTTTGAAGGTATTAAAATGAAGAATTAAATATTGTTTCCAATATATTTACATTGTTAACTATATTTTCTATTAAGTTTAAGAAATTTTTCAAGTAATTTTATACAATTTTCTTATATTTTTCAACCAACTGGCTGGAGTGAAATTTTTCTTCTCCAGCAATTCGCGTACGTTGCCAGATTGAGTAATTACTAAAATGCGCAAATAAAGCCCATGGTGGATAGGATTTGGTGATTAACAAAAATCGGCTCTTTCTTATTAATTCAATCAGATACTCGAAAAATACTATTATAGGAAACAAGAACGAAGAACCTAGTAATATGACACCAACTCGAATTTGATGTCATTAGCGACAATTGCAAAGATGTTTCCCAAAGTAAATTTTGTCACGTATACTATTGGATCCTCTTGCGGATTGCCCATAAGCCATGTGTTCATATTTTAGGATTTCTGAGAGTCCTCCATATCTTATGTAGTCTAAATTGACCTTACGTGTAGCCCTTGCCATAATAATTTATGCTTTCTGGGACCTCTATGGTTATCATGGTTTATTTTAAGTTAAAAATATCTTATGGTATATGTACAAGATAACGATTTTCCTTAAAGAAACTAAACCATTCGAGTTCGATCACTGGATTGTTAAATAGAAGCCACCAAATTTGTTGTGCTATTTCTTAGTTGTAAAGAACTTAACCTATGTTTATTAATTACTCAATAAGCTCGGTAAGTTAAAACTCTAACACTACTATTTTCACGGTACACCTATGTTGTCAAAGGTTCACTTTGTAGGTGGCTAACGCTGGGTTGGCCGCTCTCCTATATTCCTTTCCGATTGTTCGTACTCAGCTTTGGAAATTTCTGGTATATACTTGCGATATACAGAACAATGGATACTCGCCCTCTAAAATTTGCTTTTGTTACCTGCATCTACTACTCACCTCGCATTCGTATTTGGCATTTTCACAACAAAATATTAGAAAATTAATATATCGAACCACATATTTGGCTACGAAATAATAATGTTCACCGCTTACAACATTTGATTACCCCTTTGATAAGCGCGTTTATACCTAACATAAATGAAGAAAGATGAGAGCTAATGTAAACACAAAACAGCTGAAGCTAACGAGCTTTCCAGACAAGAGTTTTTCGGGATTAATTTATATGTGCGTGTAAGGTTTTTAATTACGATGAACATTAGGATTTGTTTAATAAAAGTGTAAATGCTTAAATACCAAACTTTTCATTACTTTTCCTTTTCGTTTTATTAAATTTGTACCTTAATTAACAGTTGCGAATTTAAACAGGGAAAAAGTTACATTTTTGTTTTGACAATCTTTTAGAATTATTATTATGGAGATTAGCGTACTTCTTAAATTTATTTCTTGATGACTAAGCGATCTACAAATGTAAATATTTGTACTATTTAGAAAGCTTTTCCACTTATACTGCGCTGTCCCATTGTCACCACTCCATTTTTAATCTTGTTTATGCAAGAGATAAGATTTAAAAGAAAACCACTGATAACGACTTAGTAGGAAACGTATTTAGTGTAATACATACATATATGTCTTTATTAAAAGAATTTTATGCCTTGCCTTTTGCGTTTTCAATGCACAATAGTCAATAAGCAACTTAAATTATGTATATAGATTCTCTAATTCAATTTACTAATATATAGGAAACGAAATATATAGAGAACATAAACAAGGATATGACTTTTCACAGAAAACCTCATTCGTACATAAAACATCCACTTTATTATGAGTGGAAGTGGAAAACTCGGTTTAGAATTAATTAATATCTATATATATATCCCATAAAATACTTAGTCCTCTTTCTTTTCCGCAGCCGATTTAGGTGTATCCTTGATAGCTGCATTATCTTCTTGCTGCCCTGTCGCTGGTACAGCAGCTTCCAGTCTCTTTTTCGACGCTTCTTCCTCCATTTCGCCGGAGAAACCAAATTCATTCACACGCTTGTAATCAACGCGATATTGCCAACGTTGATACAGGAATACGAAGAATATGATGTCGTCACGGAAACAGCCCAATCTATACATAGTGGGCATTTTGATCACAAAGGCAAATATATCATCTATAAATGTATTAAGGAATTTGTAGGTCATCATACGCCATGGTAAATGCGCTACAGACTTCAGTTTATAGTTGATAAACAATTGTGGCGTCATCATAATGAAGCCGAATGTTAAGAGGTAACCATACAACATATTTAACACGAACGAATACCATCCTTTGTGCTGGTTATATACTAACGAGTAAATAAAATAGCCTACGAGCAGTGGGAAGCAAGCCCAACCCAAATATTTGAATGCAAGATTGTCATATTCTTTCGTATTGCTGTCGGCGTATGAGCCCTTATCCTGGAAACTGATTTTGGGGAATATGCCCAAAATTTTTTGATCGGTGTTATAATCGATGTCCACAACTTTGTGAATTTTCCATATTTCGATGCCTAAGCCAATGAAGCATGAAACGCGTATCATAAAGTTGGTTTCATTATCCAGTACGTAGAGTAACACAATTAAAGATTGAAAAACGCCGAAGAATACGGAACGCACCGAGAGACCTTCAAGTGACTTACGATTGTTCCAAAACTGTATGTCATTTTTGAAGGCGAGCAATTCAAAAACTGAATGCAAAATCGATATGGCTATGGTAAGTCCGAGCAAATATATATTTGTATCAAGAAGCGTTTCCTTCAATGAATCTTGATCTTCATCGGATTCCTGCAAGTCAAAAAATTATTATAAAGAAATAGTGAAAAAATACCAAATTTTACCTCTGGGCCACCAGCTGTCATTAATTCACCGAGCATATTACCACCCCATTTGTTTTTCATCTGTTGTGCGGCGTATAATTGCCATTTGAACATACTCAAAGGTTGGAAAGTTAAATGCAAATCTAACTCTGGTGTTGTTTCGTTAATGGGAAAATATTCACGTTGCAAATTCCAATAATCATTAACGAAAAGAATTGGCAAATACGTTCTACCGCCATCTACGAACTTGACATATTCGTCTAATGGTGGTGGTACTGTTCCCGCTGCCCAATTAGTTTGATCCACTACCAAATTTATAGTCAAATTGGGATGCCAATGCGATACTATTGTATCTTTAAGATTTGCCTGTTCCAGCTCCATAGCTAATCTCTCCTTCTCACCGGCAAGCAAATTATAGTTGCGATTCACACGTATACGTTTATATTTATTCAACATACGTTGTTGGTGACCCATCATACCTTTTTTAGCGTAATTTTCAGCTGACGGATCAGGGCTCTCCCCAGCACGTGTAACGTATGTGTGCAAATATATGCTACCATTGTTCATTAAAGATTGTGTTGCTTTTACCTTTAGGCTGTGTGTATAAATGCCATCGTGCTTTGGCCCCGACGACCAATCTCCATAGACGAGATCTTCCTGCAGCCATATTAAATTCGATTTTTGTTTGAAGTCTACTTCATCCACGTTTTCTGACAGCCAAACATGCAAGTCAAATAGTGTGCCATTTTCGAAAAAATTCCAAGCGTTTACACGCGGTGCAGCATCTGTAGCTTTTTGCTGACTTGCTTCATTTGCACCTGGCTGTGGTCGGCGGAAAAATGAACTTATGAAATATATTATAAGTGCACGTAATATCAGTGACTTTGTCATTGCAAAGAAAGATTCCATTTTAGTTGGCTGCCGTTGTTGTTGACCTTGTTGCTGATTTTGATTGCTGGGGTCAGCAACACCATCAGCTGCGGGTGCAACCTAATCAGGTTTTAAATATGTAATAATTATGAAAACACATAGTATTACTAAGTTTCTTACCTCTCCATTACCCTGCGCAGCTTGTTCCGGCTGTGCGTTGGTTGACATTTTTAAGTCAAGTTTACTTCTAAGGCTACACAGATATGTGATTATTGAGGAGTTTTTCAATTGGACAAGCGCTAAGCAACTGTCTCCTTTAATAATATGAGCACAAATTTTTTACCACATGACCTTTTAAGTTAAATTTTCAATCAATTCACACGGCTATGAAAAAATGATGTGGAAAAAATCTGACTTTTACGATGGGCCAGTGCTGCCATTCAATTACACTTACAATTTGTTCTTATTGGTGTTGCCGAGTAAATTTTATCCTAGCAAGCAATATCTGTGTGCAAACGAATTGGTGGCCCTTTGCCGGTGTTAGATTGTTCCAGGGTTATTTGTTTAATTCAGCGTGACCGTTGGTGGACGAAAATACAAGATTTTGTCTAGCTCATATTCAAGATATATACGAAAGCTCGGATTTCATTACTTTAGATTAAGAATTGTTCATAAGCCACGTCATCACATTTTAGGCTATCCAAGACCTCATTTTCCTTTCATGTAGTCTAATGTGGCCTTTTCTATACTCCATACCTCTCCTGCTCGATTGAAAGTGGTTTCGCTTGCAACTACATATTTAAAAAAAAATAATAATTTTTATTAAACGAATAAAATATTATATGTAATTTATATGTATAGTTAGAAATTTTATATGTATTGTACAATCTTTAACTGACATACAATAAATATTTTTCCGTCATCTGGTATCCTTACTCATTTAAAAGCTTTCCATTTTATTTCTAAATTAAAATCAAACTTAAAGCTACTGTTTTTCGAACTCTTCAAATCAGCTCGAAACCTGAACCTCCAATTGCCTCTCCTGGATGGTTTAGACTGATCTTGACTATCGGTCAGCGGTGTTGGGCTAGCACTTTAACGGCAACAAAAACAAGTAAATTTTATAGAACTGTATGTATTCAGCTGCATTTTAACCTTCAAAATCGCACAAACATCGCTTAAATCTTATCTGTCATCGACGTTATATATTTTACTGTTAGAACATAGCTGAAATTCAGTGGACTCCAAATTCAATATCGCGACTGTAAACACAGCGTTGGTTGGTCTCAGTTAGAAAATACCTTAATGAAATTGGCAGCACTTGAGTAGAACTGTCAAAAAATTTCCTGCCATATCGGAAATTTCCCTTTCAGTTTCTTTTCTAGCATTTCTCTACACGTTTCTGGAGGTAAGCTTATGTTTTGTGCAAATTTTACATATATTAAATACGAATTGTGCCTCTAGTTGTTAAAGAAAATAATGAAAGGACATAAATATAACGTGTAAACTTACTGTGCGTCTGTTTCGTTGGAAAATTTGATCAATAGTAACCGAATTTGTTTTGTTAATAATTCTAACCTCTAAACTTACACGTCATATTTAATGCAAAAGTGAATGCGTGCATGCGACTGGAAAACTAAAATCGTTTGTGTTTTTATTTGTTTCAGATAGACGAACAAAATGCAGATTTTTGTCAAAACACTGACTGGTAAGACCATCACTTTGGAGGTCGAGCCATCTGACACCATCGAAAATGTCAAAGCCAAAATCCAAGACAAAGAAGGTATCCCACCAGATCAACAACGTTTGATCTTCGCCGGCAAACAATTGGAAGATGGTCGCACTTTGTCCGATTACAATATCCAAAAGGAGTCAACCCTTCACTTGGTGTTGCGTCTGCGTGGTGGTATCATTGAACCCTCATTGCGTATCTTGGCACAAAAATACAATTGCGATAAAATGATCTGCCGTAAATGCTACGCCCGTTTGCATCCACGTGCAACCAATTGCCGCAAGAAGAAGTGTGGACACACCAATAACTTGCGCCCCAAGAAGAAGTTGAAGTAGACCACTGGTATATGGAGAATTTCAACAAAAGTGGGAAGAGTGTTTGCGGGGAATGTGTACAAGCGGCATTCTTTTATTTCATTTTTTCAATATGTACACAAGCAACATTTTGGATTGAAGTGGAAATTTTATTTTAAAATTTTGCAAAGTATATGATTAAAGAAAAATATCATCTTATGTATTTGTTTATATTATGGGTATTGGATACTATTGCTATTAGATACACTGCTATTGGGGATTAAAAGCACAATAAGGAATGGGTTAGTATCAATGTACTGTGCAAACGGTTTGCCAGTGGTTTTAAATTTGGTTCACGGTCAAACAAAAAACTGAAATTTTTAATTATTTTCCTGATTTGTATGGCAAAGAACTTTAATCACTTCACTGCGTGCGTTGTTGTTGTTCTGGTACCCGAATTGGCTTTCGGTGAATATTGCGTGAGTGAGTCCATAACTGGATATAAATCCGGGTCGTTCCGGTATAAAGACCCGACTGTCGCGGGAACTATTGGATTTTAGTTGCCTCTTACGACAGGCATGCCTTAAATTCTTGAGCCTCTAACTCGCAGGGGCAGTGAACAAACTAAAACGGAACTTAAGGTAGTTCACTGCGAGCGTACTGCGTTGTGCTATAGAATATCCATCTACCCAATCCAGCATAATAATGTATACAGGACACATTTCGAGCCACTTTGAATAGCTTGTTCCTTGTTTTGTCGGTTAAATCATTAATGATTCTCGTTTTTGGCCAAGTGGTTTTTCATCCTTGACTGCTTTTGTCAAACTTTGACTCCATATTATTCCTTTTTTGGTAAATTTTTCACATTTTATTCATTCAGCTGCACAGTTATTTTAAATTATTTACAAAAATCATTGGACTTATTAAACACCATAAGATGTATGCTCGGCCCCTCCTTACCAATTACCAGCCGGCGGTCATGTCAGTTTTGTTTTGTGAAATGAAATTGACGTTTACATTGCAGCTCACTAGTCATCTCACTCGCTCTAAGGGGAAATAATTAAATGCGTTGTGAAATTATAAATTTATAATTGTGAAAATAAAACTGTTTCATTGATTGGCTAGCTAGATTTATCGAGGGATATTTAAAAACTTTTAGGAAATTTATTAGATTTTATGATGAATCTTTATAATCTAACGATTTTAACAGAAAACAAGCGCTTACACATTTGACAGTATCCTCAAGGTTCTATATATGCGTGTGTGTTCTTCCGGTTCAGATGGCGTTAAATAACTGCGCTTGAAAATTATTTTAACATTAAATGCATTTGAGATTTAGAAAATTGGGTATTATAAGAAATATTAAATAATTATGTATAACTTTGTAAATATATAAAAATGCACATATGTATATGACTATGTTCACAATACATTATTTTAGTTTAGTATATGTATGTATGAACTTTCTTTGAATTTATTTCCGCTGCGAATGTACCTGTAGTAGGAAGTACATCGAACTAATAACTAAAAAGTTAATTTGAAACATACATATGTATGTATATTAGTATTCATTAAATTCCTCAATCTATGGAGCTATCCCTCTCGCCCACGAATACTTGTGTGTAGCTACGATTGCGTGTGTGATTGCAAGCAAATATGGCGGCCCTGAATATGTGAAATTGGGTATTTCACAACAAAAGTCGAATCCCCAATATGGTGCAATTCACCAATGGCGAAATAATATTGTTTAAATGTAGGGTCCGGAGCAACTATGAGGTCAGTACTATACAAACAGTGAATACCGAAATTTCGAGAAGAAGAAACAACCAAAGTAAGAAAATCTAACAAAATATAATATTTAAAAATTCTGTACTTGAAAAGAATTTTTATTAAATTTTTTCTTTTGGTTTAACTCTTATACATTTTTGTATTAAATAAAATGTTAATAAGAAAATGAAGTGCAAAATAAATTAAAAGTAATTTTTTTCTTATAAAATTTTTAAAATATATTTAGTATTCACTTGTAATAACGTAAATTTAAATTACTAATATTAAAAAAGAAAAATAAATTAATAAATAATAAATCTAAATAAAATTTCTTTCTTCAGTAAACTTTTCAAAATGAGAAACAAGCGAATCGATCCCAATCTGGTCGTACTGGCCGAAAAATACAATGTGAAAAAGATGGTTTGCCGCAAGTGTTACGCACGTCTGCCGCCTAAAGCCACCAATTGCCGCAAGAAGAACTGCCATTCAAGTGATCTACGGCCTAAAAAGGAATTGAAAGACTATAGAGAGTAGATATACATACATATATAGACGGTGCGCGATATTTACATATACATACACCACAATGTGCATTCTCTGTAAAGTGTTCTACTTTTAGTATAAATACCGTTTTATAATAATTTATTTGCAGTAATTTTCTAATATAGTCTAATAATAAATTTAACTTTTTATACAACTTAAACAAAATAATAAAAAATAAATAAAATATTATGTAAAGGGTATCACTAGTGGTACTCGAAATAAAAACATGTAATGAAGTTTTAATATTTTAAAATAAAATATTTACACCCCAAATATAATATTATCTACACGTAAGTGGGTGGACACATTTATGAATTATAGGTTATGTAGAATTTGTATTTTTTGTGAATACATCAACACATCACGTGAAAATCTATTACTAATTGAGTGTGTATAAACTCATTTCAACCTTGAAAATAACCAGTGGAGCACACATTGAGCTTTCGAAGCTAAGGAGCCAAAAGCTTGTACCACTCCTTTCTACCATTGACGCAAACCGGTAATGCTTTAAAGCATTAAAAGCTTCAGTTGTGTTACTTAGCAACAGCAAACCAAAAAAGAAGTAATATTGCATAACATACGCATTTTTTATTATTAATAAATAATAATAATTATATTATTTTCACACTACAACTTCAGACTAATGTGTTTAGTTGACCAACGCTTGACAGAAGAATATTTCTGTTTTAGTTTGGATTTTCTGGCCGCCCCAAAACTTGTCTATGCAAAATCTGTCGAACGGGCACATATCGAAAACTACTTGAAAACTTATGTTCTACTCCCTCCAATCGTTGGCAGCACTAGTTTGTTCCATAGATTCAGCCAAAGTGGAGAGCCACTAAATATTCGAATCCATCATATATTTAAGATTTCAACTTTAGTGATTAATTTTGTCTAAAAGTAAGTAGAAATTGCTCATTGGTTGGATCAGCTGTTTAATGCAAGGTCTAATCTGCCACATGGACATTGAATGAAATAGCTGACAAAGTGACTTAGGAAGGTGTCCTTTTAGAATAGGACGCAATAATGAACATATCAGCTTCACTCAGAGAAGTGAAGCAAGCGTAAGAAGTAATCCTACTTCGTCAGGCGGACAGACTTTAGGAAAGAGCTAAGGACTACTAAATCGTGTAAGCTATGTGCAAAACTCCTGATGTTTTACTTAAAAAAATTTATACTAGAGATAAAGAAGCTGGTTTCCATGCTGCTGGTGTCATATGCTTTTAATATAGGTCTGATTGGGGACAACAAGAACAGGAATTATATTCGGTAGACAAAGCCTACAGAACCTTCAATTGGCAATGGGCGAGTTGCGAAAAATTCTACTTTCCACATCATAAAATTCCACCTAACCTAAAAGGCAATAGAAAGCTATAACTCGCCTCTTTCCACACGTTTTAGTGTGCTTCAGTTTTAGTAATTTTCACAGCAAAACAAATGAAATCAGTCGAAATTGCGCCACAACCTTAACTGAAAACTTAGCGACTCTGATTTTTATTTGTATTTTTATTGATATCTAAAAAACTATTTATCGATTATTGTCCAATCGAGTTTCACTTTATAAGTTGTTCACACTAAAGCGAATAATTCCATGTTCACAGTAAATAATTTACGTAGAGAATAATTAAATTATTTATAGAGTTATATAGTGGTTTCGAATATAAACTTTAATAAAATGATTTCCTTTTTTGATATAAAGTTTGAACCTTGGCATTATAAAGGGTGATTTTTAAGAGCTATAGGAAAGTTAAAAAAAAACACATAGAACTTAGAAAAATCCATGAAATCTTTATTTGAATCGATAGTACGATCCATTTAATTTAATGCTTGAAGATTATTTCATGCAAATATTGACCGTGACTGCGCCTCAATTGGTCCATCCGCTTAGTCCAATTTTGGTATACTCTTGCCAACAATTCGGACGGTATCTCACCAATGAATGCTTCAATGTTGTCCTCCAATGCGTCAATTGAAGTGGGCTTGTCTGTATAGACATTAGATAAAACATAACCTCACAAAAAATAGTCTTGAGGCGTTAATTCGCACGATTAAGGCGGCCAATTGAGCGGTCCCGAAAGTGAAATAAAATGTTCACCGAACTCGTCTCTCAATAAGTCAATTGTTGCGGGTGCTGTGTGGCATGTGGCACGGTCTTGTTTAAACCACATGTCATGCGAGTCAAGCTCTTACGTTTTGGGCAAACAAAAGTTTGATATCATCTCACGGTAATGTTGACCATTCACAGTTACGTTGTTCGTTTTTAAGACGATTCATGATAAAATTGTGGACTAAACTGAAGATTTTTGACAGTGATACAAACGTGCGTCAGCTGTTTAAACCAGTGTTGCCAAAGAGATAATTGCTAAAAAATCACCCTTTATGTGAAACATTACCCATTAAAATGACGGCCTCGTGAATTTTTGCAAACTTTGAGGCAATTTTCGACCACTTTTTGCCACACATCGGACGATAAATCAGCCTTAACTTGACGAATATTGTTTTTCAAGTGCTCGAGAGTTGAAGGTTGATCCACGTATGCACGGTACGTAAAAGTCCATGGTCACATGATCTCGGTAATTTACATCACCAAATAGGAGATTATGCGACTGGAAAATTTTGCACGAAAACTCGTCGTCCACTGTTTGTGGCTCAAGCACCCACTTAACCTACCTGTGAGCAAAAAGTAAGGTTAATTTGTTTGTAAAATTAAAAATCTTTATTTATTCTGCTACATCGATTTCATCGCCTTCAAAATAGTCCCCTGCTGATGCAATGCACTTACCTCAACGCCTTTTCCAAATATCGAAGCATGTCAAATAGCCACGTTCTGGTATGGCCTTCAGAGAGCCCGCCGATTCATATTTAATCTCTTCAATCAATCCACTCAAAACGATGTCCTCGAAGTGGTC